TCCGTACACGTTAGCCTACCCCCACGCCTACCGCCCGCCGAACGTAGTCCTTAGTGAAATAAGAAGAGGCGCCATGAAATCTGAGGAAGTATCATGGCCCCCGCCATGATATCCACCCCCCTCTAGTCATCACCCCTCTGTTTTCTGCCCCCGATCCCAGGAGCTGCATCCGAGCCCAGAGGCCCGACACTCCGAGAAAACGGGGGCGGCAAATTCTTGGCCGTCCTCGGCCTGCGAGGGCGCTCGCCGGGCACCGGGGGCCGTCAGCAAACGGCTCGGGGCAAGAAGCCGGCGCCACAGGGAAGTGCTCTAGACCTTCCTCCTCCTCCTCCTCCTCCTCCTCCTCCTCCTCCTCCTCATCGTACTCGGCTCCCTTTCTCATCATTCCCCCCTTCCTCCTCCAGTCCTCCTTCCTATCTCCCTCTCTCACTCTCCTCCTCCTCATCCTCATCTCATCCTCATCCTCATCCCATCCTCCATCCTCTCTCATCGGCATCCTAATCCCATCCTCATCCTCATCGTCATCGTCATCGTCCTCATCATCACATCATCATTCATCATCATCATCATAAAGAATATCAGCAGAAACCAACAGCAGGAGCAGCAGCAGCATAGCATCAGCTATCCGCATCAGCCATCAGCATCAGCATCAGTCATCAGCATCATCATCAGCATCATCATCATCCATCATCGTCATCATCATCATCATCATCATCATCATCATCATCATCATCATCATCATCATCATCATCATCATCATCATCATCATCATCATCATCATCATCCCCCTTCCTTCTCCCCCTCCTCCTCCTCCTCCTCCTCCTCCTCTTCCTCCTTCTCCTCCTCCTCCTCCTCCCCTTCCTCCTCATCCCCCTTCCTCCTCCTCCCCCTCCTCATCCTGCAACCGACTTGGCGCCGACGGTTGACCGACGGCTTGGCGGCCGGCCTCTTGCTAGCCTGCTTCCAGCCTGCTTCCAAATCAGGCAGAGCGCCATCATCAATGACGGCCGCGGCCCGCCGCGCGAGGGGCGCAGTGCAAACATCAATGGCAGGGCCAACGAGGCGCAGCCGCAAACGAAGCGCGCCATCTTTCCCGACGGGCGGCACCCCCGAGACTGCTGGCCACAGGCCGCCTAGTTCGATTGAGCCTGCTGGGGCCTATTCCTGAACGAGCCCGGCCATAGGCGAAGGGGGGGGTCAGGCCACAACGGGCGACCTTGCAAATGCGCGCTCCCCGCCGGGCGCACGCGATTATCGGAGGTTGGGGGGTGAGATCGAAGTGGAACGGAGAGCCCCCCACCGGGAAATCGGTTTCGGTTTCGTGTTCGTGCGCGCCGCGCGTGCGGGCGAGGCGAAGCCGCGTGGGCGAGCGAGAGGAAAATCTGCTGTGGCTGACTGAGGCGCGGCCGGACCAAATGATTCAAGTCTCCTTCCGGCAAGCGATGGCGCGCGGTGTCCCGCCGGTGCCCCGCCGGTGTCCCGCTTGTGGCTGGGCCCCGGCCGGACCACATGATTCTCCCTCTGGCAAGCGGTGGCGCGTGGTGTCCCGCCGGTGTCCCGCCGGTGTCCCGCTGGTGCGAAAACGATAGTGAGATCGATGACGAAATCGATTGTGAGATCGATAGTGAAAGATGTATAGTGAAACCGATAATGAGATCGATCGTGAGATCGATGGTGAGATCGATAGCGGGATGAGTAGTGATATTGATTGTGAGGTCGAGTGAAATCGATAGGGGGATCGTTTATGGGATCGATAGCGAGATCCAGAGACAGTAAAATCGATCGAATGAAATCGATTGTGGGATCGATGGCCCCATCGATCGTGAGACCGACAACGATATCGGCTGAGAGATCGATAGATAGATCCATAGTGAGATCGATGATGAGAGCGATCGTGAGACCGATAACGACATCGCGTGTGAGATCGATAGAGAGATCGATCGTGACATCGATAATGAGATCGATTGAATGGAACCGATAGTGAGATCGATTGAGCGGGATCGATCGAGTGAGATCGATATAACGTGATCGATCGAGTGAGATCGATTGCGAAAACGATAGTGGGCTCCATTGCGAGATCGATTGAGTGAGGCGTTGGGCCCCCACTCCCTCAACTCTTTCACCATCCAACTCTTGATTGCTGGCCCCCCTCCCCCCAACCTCCTTATCACCCGCAGGGTGGTCGCATAGGTATTGCGCCGTCACTTCCCGGCCGTTTGCCCCCCGCCCCACCCGCATGCGCCCTCTGACTCGGACATGGGCGCCCCCGGCGCTGTCGGCCCCGAGCCGATCGCCGCGCGTTCTCAGATCAAGGCCTAAGCCCCGCGACTCTCTGGAGCCGCGGCAAGGGCAAAGCTTCTGCCAGCAGGGCCTCCAGGGCGGCGGCGGGAGACGGGCCGGCCCTCGCCCGCGATCTGCTCGACGAAATGCGCGATGGCGCTCCCTTGCTCCTCGGGCGCGTCTGCGCGATCCGCGCGCCGCTGGAGGCCGAGGTCACCAACGAACAATTTAATTAATGAACAGGCGTGGCCATCTCTGCGCAATGCGGTCGGCCGCTCGAAGGACAGCCGTTTTTCATGCCCCTGCGCCCCCAGAGGCCCCGGCGACCACAGCAGAGCACGCAGCCCACGCGCGCGCTGAGGGCGCCCTGAATTCGACGCAGCGCTGGCAGGTGTAAGTGGAGATCTCGAGCTCGAGCAATTGTCCGGAGAAGCTCCCAGAGCTTGCGCGCGGAGGTGCGCTCGAAGGCCCTCTCAAGGTCCAAGGCCCCCGCAGCGGCAGCGACGCCGTCGGCCGCGTCTGCCCCCCCATCGTCGACCAGCGTCTGGCGCCAGATCGCGCCCTCGGCCTCCTCGAGGGCAGCTGCGCCATGCGATCTTGTGGCCATGTTCTCCCAGGCATGCAGCAGCGGTGCGCGCGCTCTCTCTCTGCCACTCGCGCGGCCGCGGGGGGGGGCCCCAGCGGCCCGGCGCCACCCTCCGGCTTAGAAGCGAGGAAGTGCGCGATGAAACGAACCCGGGGTGGCCAGTGGGCCCCGCGGGGGGCGTGATGCATGACGTCACGAAAATATTGTAGCGCGCAATCTGGTAGCCAGCTCCACCATCTGGGGCGCTAGTTGCCGATGCCGGTGCCCGCGCGTGGTTTTGGCCCGGGCCCTCCCCCGCGCTGAGGTCGGCTATCCATGACAGCACGCTCTCAACGTATTGATTTTTTTCCCCAGGTCGGTGCAGGGGGCCCGCGCTGATGTCCCGGTGACTGGCCCAACTGGACGTCGAACTCCATGGCCCCCATGTCCGCAGGGATCTTGGGCGCCCGAGTTATCCGGGGTAACTCGGGCCCGGGGCAACTCGGGCTTGGATTCCCGAAAAACGAGCCCGAGCTAGCCCTGACCCGAGTTGCCCCTGATGATGTGGGGCTCTGGACGCCCGAGTTCTCTGGGGCAACTCGGGTCCGAGATAACTCGGGCTCGGATTACCGAAAAAGGAGCCCGAGCTATCCCTGGCCCGAGTTGCCCCTGACGATGTGGGGCTCTGGGGATCTGCGGGCCCTCCAACGGGTGAGCGGCGCGGTCGCGCTGCTCCGCCGGCGCGCGGGGGGGCGCCCGCAGCTTCGCGGGCCCGCGTGAGCCCAGCTCCTCCGCGTGAAGCATCCTTGAAGCGCGCTCTCCACTTCGCGGCCCGATCCCCTGCCTGTTGTTGCTCGACGCGTCGCGCGCTGGCTTGGGCCTCGCGCCGGAGCTCTATGACGGGGTGGATGTCCTCCTCTACCGCGCCCCCCGCGAGACTGAATTGGAGGCGGGTGGGGGGGCCCAGGCGAACCTCGGCGACGCGATCCGCCCGCGGGGCAAGCCGGCGCTCTCCCCCGAGGACGCGACGGCGTAGATGATGCCATCTCGCAGTGAACTTGGCCCACCGCCCCACAGCCAAGGCCGCCTCAGAGAGAGAGAGAGAGAGTGAGAGAGAGAGAGGAGAGAGAGAGAGAGAGAGAGAGAGAAGAGAGAGAGAGAGAGAGAGAGAGAGAGAGAGAGAGAGACAGAGAAGGAGAGACAGAGACAGAGGAGAGAAGAGAGACCATATCACTGGTGCGAGACGCGACCCACCGCCAGCTGCGCGACAGAACAGAATCCCCGGGTCGGCCATGCGGCTGAGGTCCAGCAAGCGGCGGGCAGATCCACCGCGGGCATCCCCCACGCCCGCAGCAGTCCTCAGGGTGCTTCAGGTGGCGCGCGCCCACCAGCTCGGCCTCTGCAGGCCGAGAAAAAACATATTAATTTTGTCAAATATATGATCGTCGTCCCAGTCGTTCTTGTCGCCGAACTGCGGCCATTCTGGTGGCTGCTTCGGGCGTCCAACCGGAATCTGCATGGGGAACGGCTTCGGCTCGGCCAGCCTCCAGCCGTGCATGGCGCGGACGCGCGTCGCGGGCGCAATCTGCACGGGGGAGCGGGAGGGCGCCGAACTGCCCCTCGCTGTGGCGCGGGAGAAGGAACAGGCGATGGCGCAAATGACGACGAAGTAATCGATCGCCCCACCACCGCCCACCCCCGCGCACGCAAAGCACAACGGGCGTCCCCGCGACATCCTCGAGCCGCGCAGCGCATTCAAGGAACGCGATGCTGCAATCGAAATCGACATGCAGGACCAGTGCGATCCCATCATTGAAGATGAGGTCACCAATGGCATCCAGCGAGGACAGGTCACGTATAACCCAATCTTCGCTGGTTTAGAAATATGCCGTGAGAAGCATCGGCCCTCCTCCTTGTCCTGCTGGCGCCCATCCCGCAACAAGTGTTCTGGCCGAGCCGGGGGGGCAGTCGCGGCTGCCCTTGCCGCCGAGGCTGGCCATGCCGATGTTGCGCGGGGCCAGAAGCCCCACCCCTGCGCTTCGCCCTCCTCCTGGGCCCACCGAGGGCGAGGCGAAGGCTCTCCGCCTCCCAGCGCCAGCCAGCGGATAGGCGAAGCGCGTGCACCAAAAAAACGAACGCGGCGTGGCGCCAGATC